GTCTTTAACCTTTGCCATTTTAATTATGATGTGTCTTGGTGTGGGCCTCTTTGAATTCATTTTGGGGGGGGGGGGACTCTTTGTACTTCCTGGACTTGTATTTTTCCTTCACTGGGTTAGGGAAGGTTCCAGTCATTGTTTCTTCAAATAGGTTCTCAATTCCCTGCTCTCTCTCTTTACCTCCTGGTACCCCTATTATGCATATGTTATTACACTTGATGTTATCACAGAAGTCCCTTAAACTTTCATTTAATTTTTTTTTTCTGCTCTGATTGGGTGTTTTCTGCTACCTTGTCTTCTAAGTTGCTGATTAGACCCCCTTCTTCATCTAATCTGCTGTTGATTCCTTCTAGTGTTTTCATCATTTCAGTTATTGCAGTAATAACTAATCTTTAAGTAAGTACACTCTATGCTCCAGGTCCTGTGCTAAAAAGACTCAATCTAGAGTTAAACCTTCACAATAATTACATTAAGTAGATATGATTATTATTATCTCAATTTTTAAAATGAAGAAATTAAGGTTGAAAGAAATATTACATTCCTGAAATTATATAGCTAAAGAAATGGTGGATCTAAGATTGAACCCAGGTTAGCTTCACTCCAGAATTTAAGCTCTTAGACACTTGGCTCCACTACCTCTATCACTCTGAGTACAGGGATGTATGATTCTCTTGTAATATAAATGAATATTGCACCAGTTCACTGTCATCAGTGCTATAATGACATGATATTATAGTAATACATGAAATCCACTTCCATCATTACACACATATCTTTTGATTGGAGCACTTAATTCATTTACATTTGAAGTGATTATTTATAGGTATGTAGTTATTGTTCTATGACAGTTCATAATAGTTACTTTTTCAAAAAATAAGGTTATATATAACTTAAAACAATGTTTTTAAATAAGGATCTATAGAGCCCAAGAGTTGTCACAGGTCACAGGGGTTGTTGGGATGAAGTATACATTTGTGTTTAGCGAGGAGGGCGAGAGAGCTACACCAATCACCCACAAGTTATATTTAAATATCTTTTATAATGGGGGATTTCATGTAAACTTTTATTTAAAAAAAAAGTCCTGCTACTTAAATTGCATGTTATAAAGCATTGATTTAGATCACTACAGTTATGTTTTTCCAATTCAATACACTATGAGAGTCAGAAAGAAATAACATGCATTTATATAAATATAAAATATATTTTCCTACATATTTTAGATACAACAGCAATATATATGACATAAAAGAGATAAAAACGATAACAATACTTACTAAAAAAAATTATCACAAAAATCCAAAACTTCAATAGTATATGAGAACTACTTCTATTATGCACCAATTAAAGGATTAAACATTTCCGTTTCTTACTTCAGCATCTGAAGCAAAACCAAACAGTACAACACAAACTGTTAATACCTGTGGTTGTTGCATACTTCATGGTTCTTTGCTTCCAAGCCCATCTCCTATAAAATGAGTCCAAATGGAGTTATAATTAAATAGGATATGCAAGATCAGTCAATATTCTTTCAAATAATCTAAATTTTTTAAAACCTGAAACCAAGTACAGATATGACCTTAGTTAAATCTTAAGCCTACAAAGTGATTTACTAAAACATTCTTTGTGGAAAGAAAACTAATCTAGAAATCAGGAGTGACAGTTCTGGCTGTTCTCCCTGGTAGTTCATGTCCTTGAATGAATCGTTTAACCTACTTGCTCCTGAGATTGGCATCTGACCAGAGTCAAAGATGTAGACTGGAAAGCCAAGGTACATCAAGATCATCTAGTTCAGCCCGGCCTGAGGGACTCAGTTGGTTGAGCATCTTCCCATGCACCGAAAGGCTGCCGGTTTGATTCCTAGTCAGGGCACATACCGGGGATGCGGGGGTATGGAGGTCACATCGATCTTTCTCTCTCTCTCTCTTCCTCTCTCTAAGCATGTCCTCGGGCGAGGATTAAAATAAAATTCTAGTTCAGCTTTTTTCAAACTCTTTTTTGACTAGAACCCAAAGTAATACTGTACCGGTATTTGACTTCATAACCAGGTATGGACACAAAACAGAAGTTTCCTAAAAGAAAACTTTCCCTGTATTTTGATTTTCTATTCTATTTTGTTCTATTCCATTTTATTAACTAAAATATGCTGGTCAAACTACAGTCTGAAGAATACCAATCCATCTCAACCCTCTGATAAGACAGGTTTGAACAACTGGCCCAGAGAAGTAAAAGGAAGGAGCTGAACAAGGGAAGCAGAAAGAATGCTGGCTGTGGGGCCTGCTGGAGGAGCCACCCACGCCAGCTGCTGGGGGTCCTGCACAAGCTGCTTTACATCGTGTTTCTCAATCTTTTGTTTTCATCACCACCCCCTAGAACATTTAAATACTAAGTAGTAAGATTTTTGTAGCAGTGACTGAGCTTGGAGTGACCACAAATCATGTTAATATCTGTTAAAAAAGAAAACCACAGCCCCCCAAAATTGGTTCACTTGTGCTAAAGCCCATGACAGCAAACCTAGACTTAATACCTGGTCTAATTGCATCAGTTCCATCCCTTCTTCCCAAAGAAGGAAGAGGCAATCTAAGGATTAAAAATGGCGGCAGAGTAGGTGGATGCTGCACGGACATGCTCCCAGGAACAAGCTGGAATTACAACTGAAATACGGAAAGGCTTCCTGAATAATCAACGGAAAACTCACAGGAGAGAACCCTGATACTCAAGGACCAAAGGTGGAGACTGCATAGAGACTGGTAGGAGGGGTGGAGGCGCAAAAGGGCTGGCCCGGCACCCATAGACAGCAACTGAAGTCCCGAAGAGATATCTCAGCTGGGGGTGGGGGTGGGGGTGTGCCACTGAGAACTCTGGGATCTAATCCCGAAGCTTGGCTCTCCACCAGAGAGCACCAAATCTGAGGAGGGTACCCACATAACATCTAGCTGTGAAAAGCAGCAGGGTGCTGTCTGCCAGGGAGTGGCAGCTGAATGTTAGGGCACCCTCTCGAAGGGCCAATGCACAAAAATTCCCTGTGGGGCCACCCACCTTGTGCTCTGGCAGAGGGAGGGTGAAGCAGACTGGAGCTGTGAGAGCAGAACCCAGGACTAGGGACTCGGGGGATAGTGCTCAGAAGGCAGACAACCCAAGTTTCCTGGGCTGAGTCATTCCCTCACACAGCAGAGGACATCTTTCCCACATAGACATTTGCCTTGCCTGGGGGGAAGACAGTTGAGTCACCCTATTGGAAAACACCTTGCCCTGAGGCCACTTAAGAGATTAAAAGCAACAATTAGCCTCCAGGCAGAAGCAACTGCC